GAACAGCTCTGAGGGAACTGGGACTGCCCCAAGGTCACCCAGCTGGCTTCACGTGGAGGAGTGGGGGATCAAAACCGGTCCTCACAGATTAGAGTCTGAGACGCTTAACGATGACACCAAATTGGCTCTCCCCTGGGTTCCCCTGGAAAGAATGGCAGCTTTGGAGGGTGGACTCTGTGGCATTGTACCCCATTGTCCTCTGTAGGCTCCACCCCCAAATCTCCAGGAATTTCCCAGCCTGGAGCTGGCAACCCTACCCCATGCACCCTATCGGGAGCCTGGGGAACTAGCAACCTTAGTTCAGCCCCATGTCAAACTCAGATCAGGAGAGCCCTGCCAAATCCTACAAGAGCTACTTCTCCTTGGTTGTGGGTGGGAAACGAGGCTATTCCCTCCGGAGGAATTTGACCCACCGTTGCACGACCCACCCTTTGAAGCTGTGGGTGCAGTCTGCCAGTGCGTGATCAGATACAACTGTGGGCAAGTCTCTTTTTTGTGCCTTTTTTCTCCATGCGCTTAACCAGAAGATCGATGAATCGCACCTCTGCACCGAGGGCTCCCTATGGAGTTTGCGATGATGCGCATACTACGTGGGGGGGGGGGAACAATGGCACGGAGTCGGAACGGCCTGATCAGACCATCCAGACACCGTGAGAACATGCTGGAGCGATCAGACACAGGAAAGTCCATCCGTGGCCCATTGCAACCCATTTACTACCTGTTGGGTTTTGAAATAGAAAAATTGGTATTTAGCAGAGATAAAAAAGCTTAGCAGTGCCAGAGTAAAATAATTCAGGGTTATGGCTTCTCTTACTTCTTCTTGAGAACAGCAAACAAAGACGGGAAGAGGAGCCATAAAATGCTAAAACATTTTGACACTATCACTCCAATCAAACTCCTAGATCAGGGAGAATTTTCCCGGGCTTCCAGCATCTAAACTAACATTGGTTACATGAAAAACATGTGACTTCCTGTGACAACACAAACAAACATTTAACCCCAGATACACTGAGTGTAATTTTAACTTGTAATACCCAACACTACCAGATTCCCCCTACCCCCCACCCCCCCATTCCCCCCCCCCCCCCGGTGTCTTTTAACTCCACTTCTGCGGCAGAGCAGAATGGGTTGCCAACCACTGCTGGGCGCTTCCCAGATGTTGTTGTCTGATCGTGCCCTTTAAATCTGCCTGGCATTCACACCTATGCCGGGTCTCATTGCGTGTATGACCACAGCCCCTGGGGGGCAGCCAGATGGCCCTGGAAAGCCCACACGTAGAGCATGGGAGTCACAGCTGCCCCCAGAGGGCTTTTCTGTCCCTCAGTTATTCAGAGGTAGAGTGCTTCAGAATACGGGTCTCTATTGAGACATCCCACCTTATAGCCAGGAATAGACCGATTCTGTCTGGATCTGTCAGATTTGCTGTCGAGAGCCAGTTTGGTGTCGTGGTTGAGTGCACGGACGCTAATCGGGGAGAACCGGGCTTGATTCCCCACGCCTCCACTTGCACCTGCTGGATGACCTTGGGCAAGCCGTAGTTCTGTCAGGGCTGTTCTTGAAAAAGAGCATTTTCTGTCAGAGCTCTCTCAGCCCCGCCTGCCTCACAGGGTGCCTGTTGTGGGGAGGGGGAGGGGATAGTAAGGCGCTCTGAGACTCCCTTGGGTAGTGAAGGGCGGGGTATAAATCCCAGGGCTATTTTTGGGCAGGAACGCGCAGGAACGGAGTTCCGGCTGGCTTCCAAGTTGGCCATGCCCAGCAGGAACTCATTAGCATAATAGGCCACACCCAACAGCAGAAACTCATTAGGATTGGCTATATTAGGGGTGTGTGGCCTCACACGCAAAGGAGGTGCTACAAAAAAAGCCCTGGGTTTTGACAACAAACAAGGTAAACAGAATAAGAAGCAAAAGGTGGGTGTGGCTGGATGACCACACTTCTGGTAACATGGGGGTGTGGCCTAATGTGCTAATGAGTGGTGCAGTTAGGGTGTGGCCTAATATGCTAATGAGTTCCTGCTATTGGGTGTGGCCTATTATGCTAATGAGTTCCTGCTGGGCTTTTTCTACAAAAAGAGCCCTGAAATCCAATCTCTTCTTCTTTGAAGGCCGATCCAGGTGTTCAGCCGTGCTGGTCTGAAGCAGGAGTCCAAATTCAGGGTCCAGTGGGGGGCACCTTGAAGACCCACAAAGTTTTATTCAAGGTCTGAGCTTTCGTGCGCGTGCACACTTTTTCAAATACACTGGAAAGGAAGGTAAGGTTCAAGCTTTATAGACAGGGTCTGAACAGCAAATTAAGGTGTCACATGATTTGTCCTTGCACGTCTTCATCGTGTTACACGCTAATTTGCTGTTCAGCCCCCGTCTATAAGTTCGAACCTTACCTACCATTCCAGTGTACCTGAAGAAGCGTGCCTTGCACACCAAAGCTCAGACCTTGAATAAACCTTTGTGGGTCTTCAAGGTGCCCCCACTGGAGTCTGCTTTGAATGCCGTGGCTGTTCGTTTGGCGACCCCACTAATTCCAGTGTTCCCTCGGCTGACAGTTTTACTGTCAAGGTTCTGGTCCTCACTGTTTCAGCTCCTCCGCTCACCCACCGCGCCACCTTCTGCTCTGTCCTTATTATCGTCCCAGCTATGCTCAAACTCTCCTACTTGCCCCCCACGCCCGGATGCTTCTTGTGCCGGCAAACAGTGGCTCTCTTTCCTCCCAGAAACCTCCTTGCAAGGCCGCTTGGCTGTAATTGGAGCTCTCTGTTTGCTCCCCCCAAAGTGTGGCTCTCCGGGGTGCCTCTTTCCTTTGATTAACTCTCCGTCTCTGGCCACCATCAATCCAAGGAGCCTTCATCCCCGCTCTCCACGGAGACTCGTTTTGAGCTCCCCTTCCAAATTGGACTCCACCACGAGGGAGGGACACTTTGATTTCTCTGTCGCTTCCCCCCTGGCCCTCTCCATTCCCTCTCCCCTCCCCTGTTTGTTGGCCAGTTTTTTAATTTACAGTTATGACACTTGATGAATTTAATGCCAGACCAGAGAAGTGTCAGGACAAAGTAGGGGGGGGGATGTGAAGAGAGATCAATGGAACCTCAGCTTAACCCTCACTCTGCGTTCCGCACAGGCGTCTTTCCTCTCTCTTCTGGCAGTTGGGTGGCTTAACTTTTTCCCTCCCTCTTGTTGTGGAGGTCCAATAATAAAATACTTTTTGCAAATGAGTTGGGGTCTCTCTCCCAGCATACCTTCATCCTCCAACCAAGTGCTCTTCTCCCAATGGCTTCCAGAATGGAGCGGGCATTCATTTTGGCACCTTCTTAGCCAAACTGGGAGTTGAGGGCGTCTCCACATCAACAGTCTTCCTCACACCCTTGAGTAAAGCACACCACGCATGTGTTGGGGGTCTCCCACGTGGTCTTGTTAGATGTCTCTGCCATAGGCTGAGAAGTGATAGGATAACCATCTTCAAGTACTTAAAGGGCTGTCATAGAGAGAGGATGGGGCGGAGTTGTTTTCTGTTGCCTCAGAAGGTTGGACCAGAACCAACGGGTTGAAATTAAATCAGAAGAGTTTTCAGCTGAACATTAGGAAGAGCTTCCTGACAGAGCGGTTTCTCAGTGGAACAGGCTTCCTCGGGAGGTGGCGGGCTCTCCTTCTTTGGAGGTTCTCAAACAGAGGCTAGATGGCCATCTGTCAGCAATGCTGATTGTGTGAATTTAGGCAGATCATGAGAGGGAGGGCAGGAAGGGTTGCATCAATGCTTAGTTCTCATGGCCCTTTCTTACATGCCCAGGGGAATGCCTATCACCAATTGGGTCATGAAGCAATTTTTCTCCAGGCCACTTTGGCCAGGGATCCTGGAGGTATTTTAGTAAAAAGCCCAGTAGCACCTTTAAGACTTAACAAACTATTGTAGCATAAGCTTTCGAGAAACACAGCTCACTTCATCAGATGCATGGAGGGTATGAAGAAACTGGCCAGATACATAGGTGATTAGGTGGAGGGGGGGGGAATGGATGAAGAAAGTGCGATGTAAATGCAAAGCAGTTGCAAAAGTCATGAAAAAGGTAGAATGCACAATCCTGGCTGGGTGTGACCCCTTCCTTCTATTGATGAATCTGAATGGAATACCTGAAAGGCAGTTACTTCTGGTAATGAGATAACCATCCAAAGTCTCTATTCAATCCAAGTTTGTCTGAGGTTCTTTGCCAATTTCTGGGCATGGGACAGGAGTCACTGAGTGCATGTGGGGGAGGGGAGGTATTTGTGAATTTCCTGCATTGTGCAGCGGGGTGGACTAGATGACCCTGGAGATCCCTTTCAACTCTATCATTCTAGTCATCTCAGCAACTGCCCTAAACAGCAATTGGTGGGCAGCTTCTGTTCTTCCATTTTCAGCCCACAGTTGCATGGTGATTGGCAGCTGAACATGTGAAAGGTCTCCCTTGAAAGCGGTTGTGTCTGAGGGGACCACCAGGCTGCATCTGTCTGGTGTTGCCTCTATGGCCCATTCACACATTACCTGAGAGGTTGCAGCCGTTCTGGGACATGCGCATACCTGTGAACGGGCCTTGATAGCCCTGGCTTTCCCAGCTTCACAGGTGCCTAGTGTGAACAGAGTCTATGCTGCGCAGGGGGACGCAGTTCTCCCAAGAGAGCAGAAAGCTTTTAAAGTGAGGCATTTGATGGAATTAACAACGGTTTTGTTTTTTGCATTTAATGATCTAAGACGTCGGCTGGCTTTTCCCATTTGTGTGGTGGTCTTTCTTCTTCTCTTCGTTTATGGCTTCAAACGGTTTACTCCGATGGCTTTGCTAAGCCCAGAACCATGTGAAATGGTCCTGAGGTACATAAGAACATAAGAGAAGCCACTGCTGGATGGGCCACAGAGTGGCCAAAAATACCAGGTGCCATCAGAAGGCCCAGCAGAGATATGACCGGATCTTTCTTTTTTTAAAAAAGGTACCAATCGCATTCCCTTTTCTCACCTTTGCTGTCTCCCCCTCTCTCCAGGCTTCCAGAGGTCCGGATCTCAGACAACGGCCCCTACGAATGCCACGTGGGAATATATGACCGAGCAACCCGGGAGAAGGTGGTGTTGGCGTCTGGCAACATTTTCCTCAATGTGATGTGTAAGTTCACACCTTGGTCTATCCATGTCTATCAACAGCCGCTATTAATGAACCACAGTATTAGTTGGGAATAGAACCTCTGATTTGGAGGCAGCCTGCACCTCAGGATATCAGATTACAGAGACGAGTCCTGTTTATGGGTTTCTCAGGAGTATCCACTTTTGGAAGCGGGATGCCGGACTACGTGGTCCCTTGGTTTGATCCGGCAGGGCTCCTACGTCCCTCCTCCCAGCATGCTTAATTTCTCGGAGCGTTTTTGTTTGCTTGAAATGTGCCTAACGTATTTTCTCCCATTGGTATCTCTCACGAGCCTGTACCCTGCAAATTGTTCCGTCACAGTCTGTAAAGTGCTCCTGGACTTGAATCTAGCCATCCCATCCCCCAAAGCACCTAACAACAGTCGCTGGAAAACCATTTGTAAGGACTATGCAATAAAACCTAACAAATACAGTGGATTAATCACAATATTGAGAAATACCATCATCAGAAAGCCCCCCCCCCCAATCCGCCCAGCCAAAGCCTTCCATGGGCAGATGTGCCTTGAAGCAGCATTTAGCATTCAGGAGGGAGAACCTTAGATGGAGCTCCTGGGGGAGGCTGCTCCACAACACGGGGTCCACCACCAAGGTGGCCCTGCTTTTTGGAGGCAGAGGATTAAATGTCCCCCGTCAGGGTCTTTGACAATGACCTCAGCAGGGGGTGGGTTCATATGGGCAGTGGTGTTATGTGGGAGATGCCCGTGTGAGGCCAAGCTATGGAGGTCAGGCTGGCCCCAGACCCAAGATCCTTGGCTGCTTCAAAACAAGGCTCCCCTCCTGCCCTCATGATGTTGCAGCTCCTGAGGGATTTATTTACCTAATCTCGTAATTGGAAGGGACCACCAGGGTCATCTAGTCTGACCCCCTTCCACGCAGGAACTACATCTATTAACATCCCCGACAAGTAGGTATCCGATCAGTACTTAAAAACCTCCAATGGCAAAGCATCTACCACCTCACATGACATTTGGAGCATGTGTGGATGAGCACTTAGAAACCAGTGAAATTCCGAGAGCTGCCTCACATGTCCGTGGAAGCCCTATTTATTTATTCATTTATTTATCTATCTATCTTTAGATTTGTATCCCGCCCTACCCCGAAGGCTCAGGGCGGCTAACAAGGGCACAAAGTGCCAAGATTAAAACAATAAAAGCACATAATATAAAACAGTAAAATACAGTAACAAAATCACAGTGGTCCATTTGTCACAAGATGGGGTAGATCTTAAACCCAACGGTAACTTCCCCGAAATCTATCATCCTTTTCCTGCCAGGGGCACCTCGCACCCCCAAAGGGGCCAGATAGTCGTGGTGATGGTGTGACGGTGCATAGATGGCAATGATGGAGTAATAGTGGCGGCGGCTCCTACTCGAAAGCCTGGCGGAAGAGCTCCGTCTTGCAGGCCCTGCGGAACTGAGAAAGATGTGGCGCTCGAGCCTTTGTGTGTTCCCCTTGGAACGTGACTCATGCCAACAGACTTCCTCCCGAGGGAGCAGGCACAGGGCTGCAGCCTTCATTTGCCACCCGGCTTCCTCGCAAAATTAGTGTGTGGGCACAGGAAGGCTTGTTTCACCTTGGCACTTAGCACAGTGTCACGTTCACCCTTGGCCAATTCATCCTCTGGTCCCGTCACAAAGTGAGGAGGCTCTGAGCACACACCTCGTCCTTCCCAGACTACAGAAAGCTTTAGAGAAGGCAACCGCTCTGTAAGTGGTCAGTGCTAGGCTGACAGAGCACGATGCCTCCAAGCCCATACAGGGTTAACACCCTCACCAGCGGAGCCAGTGAACTGTGACTCTGGTCCAAGCAGGTCTTTAAAAATGAATCAACGGCAGACAGTCGTAGATGTCCGGCTGAAATGCAAACACCAGCTGTCCCTCGCAGCCTTCTCCTGGCTCTCTGGGCTGGGGAGGCAGCTGGATGGCCGTTGAGTCAGCGGGAGCGGGCTGTGGGTGTCGGAGCCAAGAGGGCAGGCCTCCATCTTTGTTGCTCCTGCCGAGAGAGTGTCGGGTCCGGGCGAGCCGTGCCAGGGAGCAGCACGGAGCAGATGTTGCGATTTATATTTACTGAGCGGCTTCATTTGCCGCGGAGAAACCCGGAGATGACAAACGAGGGCGGAGGGCGGCTTCGGCACCAGCTGCTGTCACGTTTCACGCCATCGGCAGCCTCCAGAACCCTTTCGGGGGGCCGAGCGAGAGAGGGGAAAGGCGGCAGGCGGGCCTCGTCCTGCCTTCCAGCCCCGCATAATGAGGGACACCAAGCCCTCTCCTTGAGGAGCAGACAAAACACTTGGGAAGGAAGACGGGCTGTGTCTGATCACCACTGCAGGTTCCATCGCCATGGAGATGGGATTGGTAGGCCGAAGCCTGCTTTGATTGATGGGTCTTTCCTCCTGCGCTCAGGTGTGTTTTAGAGTCTTGGAATGCAGGTGTCTGTTGAACAGGGACGAGGGGTGGGTTGGGATCCTGGAACAGCCTTGCAATCATAGAATCACAGCACAATGCAGGGAATTCACAAATACCTCCCCCTCCACATCAGCAGTGGCCGCTGTTCCACGCCCAGAAGATGACAAAAAACTTCCAGGATCCCTGGCCAAATTGGCCTGGAGGTGCAAGCAGAACTAGGAGAGGAGCCTGTAGAGCTGTCGGGGTCTACGTGGCCTGGGTCTCGCCGTGGTGACCGTGACACTGTGGACGGCAGCTTGGAAGAGCAGGGATGAGATTCATCGTGCCCAGTGAAGACTAGCAGGGTGATAGATGTCCACCCACTTGGTATTTACACAAGAACATAAGAGAAGCCCATGCTGGATCAGGCCAATGGCCCATCCAGTCCAACACTCTGTGTCACACAGTGGCCAGAAATACCAGGTGCCGTCAGGAGGTCCAGCAATGGGGCCAGGACACTAGAAGCCCTCCCACTGTTGCCCCCCCCCCAAGCACCAAGAATACAGAGCATCCCTTACCCCAGAGTGAGAGTTCCTATCTATACCTTATGGCTAATAGCCACCGATGGACCTCTGCTCCATATGCTTATCTAATTCCCTCTTGAAGCCGTCCATGCTTGTAGCTGCCGCCACCTCCTGTGGCAGTGAATTCCATGTGTGAATCACTCTTTGGGTGAAGAATCTCCAGCTAAAGGGTCTCTCTGCCTGTGACTGGACAGATGTGCTTCAGAGCAATCCTGAGGTAGGTGGACCAAGGCTCTGAGTCACTACAAGGTATCTTGATCACCTTCAAATGATCTTGGGGGAAAGGCAGGAAAGGCGTGTTGTAAGTTCCCTGTCAAGTTTGCAAAAGTGGAAGTGCCTGGAGATCAAGGGACACAAAAATTCAAAGGACCACCAGTTGCTTTACAATGTCATAAGACCAACCTTCAGATCTGGGCACGGAGCTCCATCTCCCACACGGCCCGTTGTGTAACCGGCTCCAACCTTGCAGAAAAGACATGGCTCCAAATGAGGTCACCTTTGCCTAGGGGAGGCTGCAGCCCTCCTCAGAAGCAGGTGAACTTAATAGCAATGGAGATATGGAACAAAGCAGCCAGACTTAACCCCTAATGCGTTGTCCCACTTCTGACAGGACAGTATGTTCTCAGCTCCTGGTGGAAAATAATAGGCAATTTCTGAGTGGCTCTAGCCAGCCACTCTCCAAATGTCACTGTCAACACAAACTCAACCAGCTGTTTAGAGCTTGGGTTTTTTGGCCATACCCTTTGTATTTGTCACTAGGTGCCGGTAGAGTCATATTAGGTATGCCGGTTGTGCTATAGCGGCACCTAGGGACAGAAAGCAGGTATTGCAAGTAGGCAAATATGCTGTACAAAAGAGGAAAAACCTAAAGTAACCTTTAATTGTGATAAAGCCCCCAAAAGACAACTGTTACTTTGAGTTTGCTGATGCATTTGAGTCAAAAGACATCTCGCTGCCTTCTGGCCCAGCCAGTACTTCAAAGGAATTCCAAAAAAAATGATGGAGAGTGTGTGTGTGTGGGAGGTTACTACTTTCCTTTGGGTTTTGTTGAGCACCTTCTTCTGCACTATTGCTGCAAATTGGATTCATCAGCTCAACTTCCTCAGAAGGCTTATAAACCAAGGTAATCTATATATGCAAAAGAATTCCACAATACAGCTTGTCCGTAGACTGTATCACCATCGCCCCCCAAAAGTCAATACATAAACTGACCAAGATCCCTTTTCCATGATAGGCTCAGCTTTTCTGCAGAGGGAGTTTCTTACATGGGAAGATTGACCTAAGCCAGAGCAGTGGCCTGGAGGCAAGCGGGTGGTCAAGCGACGATGGACAAGCTGAGACCATCTGAACAAGCAGTTGCTCAAGTCTAACCAGCCAAGCCACGTGCCGACTTTATTGGACTAGCTAGGGAAAAGGCCATGCTTTCGCTGTTCTCTGTGCCACCTTCTGACCATTCGAAGTTGGGGTGCTGCAGTTCAGAAGGAAGTTACCAGCACTTGCCATCTTTGACAAGATACCTTGTTGGCTAAGAGAAGAAGGTGTGTGGATCCCGCCATTCAAGGTCCTGGTTTGAGACCAATGCTCCCTCTAAGCTGTGGAGTCTTGTGAGCAAAAATTCTGCTTTGTGAGCTACTGGTGTTAAAATTGTGAGTGAGCGATTGGGCTACTGCATCAGTTAGAGTGCTCTAGAGCCCTCCTTCCTGAGCGAAGGCAAAAATGTGTGAGCTGGAGGCTAAAAAACTGTGAGCTAGCTCACACTCACTCAGCTTAGAGGGAACGCTGTTTGAGACCCCTGGCACTTTACAGGGAACCCTACACACACACACACACACACACACACACACACACACACACACACACCTTCAAACCATTCCAACAGCAACAGCCTGGCTCAGGTCTTGCAAGCCAGAGGTCATGTCTTCCTCTATTGAGTCCATCCATCTCACGTTGGGTCTTCCTCATTTCCTACTGCCTTCAACTTTTCATCGTGTTAT